CCCACACCCAAAAAAAAACAAAAGAAAAAAAATCCCACGTAAAAAACAAATCGCCTCGGGATAGGGTGTTTTCTTTTTCTCCCCCTCTAGAGTATTATGCTGCAAGTTTAGCCAGGGAAATGGAAAATTCTTGTGTCTGCATTTTTTTGGGTTGAAAAGTGTGTTGCATCAAATTATATTGTTCTTATATTAAAAACCTAAAAGTATAAATAAAAAATTATTTAAATTATTTTTGTTACAACATGCTTAGAAAGATTTGTACATTATTTCTAAAATACTGTAGTCAGAAATTAACATTTTTATATTATGTTTATTGCTTCTTTCTTTTCAGCCGCTGGATGGTTTGTTGGTACCTCCGGGTTCAGGACCTGCCATTCCCCCCACACTGGCTGTGGCATCAAAACCGATTCCCATGGCACAAACGCCTGCTTATAATATGAATAAGCAAAGCCGGAGTGAGCCATGCATTTTTTTCCAAAAAGGTTACTGCTTGAAGGGCGAGAGGTGTCCGTTCTCACATGAAGTGCATGCAAAAGGTAATGTCGTGCCACCACAGGCAGCAAAGGCGTCTCCGTTACTCCCAGAACAACCCCAGGCATTCAAGAAGGAACCTTGGGGCATCAAGCAGTGTGCTAATCAGCAGAACGTTCCAAAAGTGAGCGTTGAACTAGCACCGAGAGCACCAGTTTCATCAGCAAAACCTAGTGTCGGAGCTGAGATTTCATCTTTAAATGGTTTAACACATGCAAAGGATTTGTTACCTCCTTCATCGAGCTATAATCTTCCCAGATTTCAGCCAGTACATCCTCCTGTTGTGAACAGCAACAATGCTTGGACTAGGTCCCTTAACCATCAGAGTGATGTGGAGCCCGGTGAGATTGTTGGCGAACATTCTTCAGGATTTGATGTTCATGTTGCCAAGAAATATAATATGAAAGGAAGTGCTCATTTCCGTGATGGAGATGACTTTGGAAGGAAATCCGCTCAAGGTGGGCGGAAAGTGGAGACTTTAAATGACTTCAAGTCTGCCAACATCTATGAAAGAAATCAATTTAGTAGTTCCGTAGATAAATTTGAGCAGAATGGAAGAGCTAAGGACTACTATGATATAAAACAACACAGGAGTTCATCTGAGAGGAGCTTTGAGAGATCACTATTGCCTGAAAGGAGGGTGCTACAGAGACAAAAAAGCCCTGAGGAGGTAGATAGAGCTGATTTGAGACATCGTTTGAAACAAAGAAAGCTCGATGATCGCTATGTTGAGGAGAAATATCGTGGTCACACTATTGAAAGCTCTGTAAGTGCTCGACTTCGAGGTAGAATTAGTCTTCCTGGGACATCTTCTGGCGACTCTTTCAGGTTGCAACCTGAAAAGGATAGGGATTTGTCTAGAAATCGAGGCAGACTATCACCAACTAGGCCACCACTTGGTAACCAAGGGAGACGATATGATAGAACAAGAAGATCAAGTGAAGACCCTCCTACGTTTGCAGGCTCAAGAAGCTTAGGAAGCAGGCTGACCAAAAGAGTGGATGCTGATTCTGTGAACTTCAGTGGCCCGAAAAGCCTAGCAGAGCTAAAAGGAGTGAAATCAACCAGAGGCTACCAATACTCGGAACGCTCTCTCTCCTTTGAAGGTCCCAAACCACTGAGTGCTCTTCTCAAGAGAAAAAGAGGGGGAGACCCTGTAGATGGTGTAAATTCGAGTGATGGTGATGAAAATAATCAGAGAAACGAAGTTGCAGGAGTTTCGTATTCTGACCCTTCATCAGTAGCTGAACAGGTGCAGCCCAGTTCTGTACTGGATTCGAATAAAGAAGATGAGCGTACCATCACTGAGTTTGGACCATCAAAGGCTGAAACAGTTGAAGAAGAAGAGGAGGATTCGACCCCTTCAAGAGATGATGATTTAACTTATGATGGTGCGATCGATGCCATGGAGGAAGATCAAGGACTGCAAAACCTAGACCAGAGAGGCGATGAGTATGATTATGAGGCAAATGAGACTGGAGACTTGAAAACAGAATACGCTAGTCAAGGAGAGGAAGAAGATGAATTGGACGACGAAGAAGACTTTGCTCGTAAAGCTGGCCTTTTGTTTTCTTGAAGGGCTGGCCTTTTTCTTTTTCCCACAGTTGATGTTTATGATAAGTGTGCTGTGATTCAGATGTGTAGCTAAAGATTAGTTTGGAGATTGATCAAAGTAGTCGTCACTTGTTTGCTCAGCAGTTTTCCCATTTGGGGTGGTCGACACATCTTGAGTTGTATCAGTTGAGTAGGTCACTTGTTTGCTCAGCAGTTTTCCCATTTGGGGTGGTCGACACATCTTGAGTTGTATCAGTTGAGTAGTTGATTGTTCAATATTTAATGTATAACATTTGGGGTGGTCGACACATCTTGAGTTGTATCAGTTGAGTAGTTGATTGTTCAATATTTAATGTATAATACGCAGAATGCATAATGTTAATGGATTTCTTATGTTCCTCCTCTACTCTGCGTTGCTGCTTTTATTCGAAGCAAATGGTTTAATTTGAAAAGAGAAGAGTATTTCATAGGCTTGAATCATATGTTTTAGCACCACTGTTCCCATGTCCATATTTGTTTTCTTATAGATACTGGTTGTGACTGGCGCTAAAGTTCAAAGTTCTAAAACTAAAACTCGGAAGTATTCTTATTTGTAGAGAATGCATGTATAAATGTGGTTCAGATACTTATCCAGTTATCCTGGTCAGATACTCCTAGCAGCATGACGTGTTGTAGTCCAGATATTTCGGATTAGATAAAATATTTATCCATATTTCAATTAAATGTCTATCTTTATTCACATTTTAAATATCTTTGTTGCCCAACCCAAAAATAAAAATTCAAAAAACTGAAAAAAAGAACGAAAACAGTTGTTTGCACTATTGTAATACAACAGATGCATTCTTTTTGAGGTCAAATGTTAAGCCTAAAAGTATAGGCTACAATTGCACATAAGTCATGCAGAATATATTAAACATATTCGAGTCATAAATCTGTTCAAGGACCAAAAATCTCAGGTTTTACACTGATAAGGAGTATATTAAACATATTCGAGTCATTAAACATATTCTCTGATTGGGATTACATACCTCCGGCATTCTCAGCACGCTTCTCCGCCCGTTTAGCAGCACGGTTAGGACGATAATTTCTCAAGTGTAGAGGACGAGCTATTGATGTGGATGCAGAGGCATCCCCTCCAACTAGACAATAAAAGAATATTATGTAAGTATTGTTTAATAAAATAATATGCAATATAATATCAATACATTATCCAACTTATTTCTCAGCGGTAGTACGCAACTAGGGAAGCCTTTGTAGCATGGTTAGTATTTTCCATTAGTTAAAGCTTAAGAAGATGGGATTTAAGTTATATTTAATGTAGAAGTACTGAGAGTTGGCCTTCCAAGTAACGTCAAAGTGAAAATTATCCCTCTTTAAATGAAATAATACACATTCATCTAAGTTTACACTCCCATTCTTAAGTATATGTCATAACATTCTGATATATGTCCTCTGAAAATTTAGAGAGAGCACTTCAAACTTAATGGCAGTATAACGAAGGATAGGCTGAACACTCAGGAACATGAACATCTTATTACATAGGCAAGCGCCAAATCAAATTAAATTGTCTTCTACGTACAAAACGTTAAATTCTCATCCACTCATTTTGCTTGGTACAAAGATACTACAATAAAGGTCACCATATGCTTCCTAAGTTTCAAGAGGTAAATATGCACCCCTAGTAAACAAACGGCAGTATCCTCCAAGGAACAAGTTGGCAGTATTCTGCCCAGATTTCTTTGTATTTCTGTGAGCATCTTGCTTCATCTCTTCTCTCCCTCCATATAAGAAGTATGAGAAGATATATAGGATAGAAGTAGGGAATCACAGAACTACAAGGAATAGAATTTATTAATAAAAAAAATTTATAAACTAAAATTAATTAGTAACATGGTTATAATTTTCACAAACGACGAGACTGGTAAGTAAAACTTAAAAACGTAGAAATTTTAACTAAAAAACATTATCATTTTTTAGGGGGAAACTTTATTTTGTCACTTACATCTTTCTATATTAAAATCATATGAATCACAATCAAATGGATCAAATAACCAAATTTGGGTGCAAGATGTGAAAAAATTGAGAATAGCATTATCTAAGTACCTTGTTCCGCATGGTAAGCTGAATGAAAGTGCTAGAAGCAAATCTCCAAGGTAATTACAGTGCCTTGCAATTCCCCTACCACATGAAAGTTGGTTGTTCTTGAATATTTTTCAAAGAAAAGCAACTGAAATATTGGATTTCTATGAAAAAAAAACTAAATGTGAACTTTACCAGTAACCAGAAGCTAGTAGTTTGCCTCCAATGACTTTTGGAGGCCTACCCCATATGCGAGCTTTAGGGTCCTTTTTAAATACATGTTTTTGTTTGTTGGCGCCTCGAAATACTTGATAGCTACATAATGCATGCAAAATTCAATAGATTACGAGTCGTTCTAGACTTAAAATTCTGAAGGATATGTGTGTAAAATAGAAGAACCTCACCCAATGAGAAAAACTAGGCAACTAGATATGGCAGCTATTTTTGATAGTTCAACTTTGTTTTTCAGAAGCCACCAACCCTGGACGGAGAGAAAATGTTAAAGTGACAAAATCATAGAAAGCACTATATATATATGGGAAGAAAAAATGTTAGAAAACTTGAGAAAACGTTTTCAAACATTCAGAAAAAGAGAAAATTGTAGAAGGTTAGAAACTTAAAAAATACATTGACAAACTCATTGTTTCAACCACAACATGTGTGCCAATCTTCAATTTTTCAAACCTTTTTGATTGTCAATATGCTGAGCACAGCAAAACATAACTAGTCTAACAATGATTAAGATCAAATATGCGAGGTCAATCTAGAAGTGGAGATAAAAGATCTGCAGGTTTGGAGCAAGAAAATTCAAGAGGCATGGGGATTGCCAACTACACATATTGATAAACAAACCATTGCAATGAAATGGTATGAAAATTTCCCTCAAAATGTATATTTATTGAAACCCGTGTCAAGGGGAAATGAGGAACAAACTCCAGTTATCTGCGAGTGATGAAGAATACTAAAACGATACTGTAAGAAAAAAGACCAAATATGTAAGATGAAACATGAAATTTGTTCCATTCAAGACAAGCTGATGACTATCTTTCATGATCCTCAACGCATGATCCTTTTCTAGAATGAGTAATCTAATCCGTGCAATTGATATGAATCTGAGAAAGACAAAATACTTTAGACAAGCAACGAATGATATTTTCGAAAATAAGTTTAACCATGTCACTCGTATCACACTCAGGTTTCCAAGTAGTAACTTGAAGTTATAAATGCTAACTTAGATAATAAGCTCGTAGATTTGGTACTTTAGTAGTATGTCAAACAGACACAATTAATTGTCTGATGCAAGTGGACCACATCATGCCTGAATTGTAAATGTGAAAGGAATGAAAACCAGGTCTCCAAAAACCAACATGAAGCCCAATCTCTCAGCAATGATATCCCACCTGTAACCATATAAAATCATGCCTATTAGTAAATTTGATTGTGATAAAATTAATATGCGCAATAACACAATAGAGAGTTTTTTATCCTAAAAAAAGAAAATAAAATTGAAAACATCAAGTCAGTGAATAAATATTGTCAGCAGCCCACATTTTTTCTACCGCTCACCTTCTTTGACAAAGAAGGAAAACAGTAGCCGAAATTTTGGAAAAAGAAAAAGGATACAGGTCCCACAAATATATTATTATTAGTGGTGGGTCTCACTAATAATATTTTATTTGTGCATAGTGTTTCCCAAACACTATAAATAAGACCCTAAACTCTTAAGAAAAACTCATCTCACAAACAACTCCTCTCGTAAAAGAGTAAGAGAGAAAACACAGAGAGATTGTGAGATTCTTGGAGTGTATCTGATCAAGAGAGGATGTTCTCTTTGATCTATTCTTTTAGGATATAAAAGAATTTGACGTCGTCGTTACACCGTAGAGTAGCTCCGAAGGAGTGAACCACGTATATCTGTGAGTACTATGTTTAATATTGTTTCTTTATTCTGTGTATTACGTCTCCGTTCAAGACGTTATTGTTGGTGTGTACCTTGACAACTAGTATCAGAGCCTGGCTTAGAGTATATATATCTGCTTATCGTATGCTCTGTGGCTGCCACTAAAAATGGATAGTATATATATCTGCTTATCGTATGCTCTGTGGCTGCCACTAAAAATGGATCATCCACATCAGAAAATAAGTTAGATTATTATTTACTCTTTTAAGGTATTAGGTACTATTCACGTGTACGATACTATTCACAAATATGATACTATTTACAAATACGGTTCGATAAAGACGTAATCTTTCGCCATGGGATCTACAGTTGAAGATAATAGGCTTCGAATTAAGAAATTCGGCGGTCAAAATTTTAGATATTGGGGGATGCAAATAGAAGACTATTTGTACTAGAATGATCTCTTCCTATCCCTCCAAGGAGAGGCGGGGAAACCTGAGAAAATGGACGACGATAAGTGGAAGGTGCTCGACCGTAAAGCACTCGCCACCACCAGACTCAATCTTCACCAGCATGTGACTTATAACGTCTCGCATGCGACCACTACCAAGGTGTTGATGGAGGCCTTGGAGGCGCTGTATGAGAAGCCGTCTGCTTCAAATAAGGTGTACCTGATGAAGAAGCTGTTCAATCTAAAGATACAGCAAAGAGCTCGCGTGGCAGACTTCTTGAACGAATTTCAGGCTGTGGTGCAACAGCTTGCTGCAGTAGATCTCAAGTTCGACAATGAGATCCAAGCTCTTCTGTTACTTTCTTGTCTACTAGATTCGTGGGAGAATTTGGTGATGGCGGTGAGCAACGCCAATGGCAATGACAAGATAAAGCTCGACACGGTGATTGGGACAATTCTGGATGAAGAATCTCATCGTAAAGTCTCAGGAACTGAGGCCTCTAGCAGTGGGAATGCTCTGCATGTCGAGGTATGAGGGCGTGCGCAGAAGAAGGGTAGAGGACGACGAGACCAATCAAAATCCAAAGGGAAGTCTAAAGGACCAAACCCGAATGGTTATGGTGAAGGGAAGTGCTTCAGATACGGAAAGAATGGTCACTTTGCACGGGACTGCAGAGTTTCTGTTCCAGCATCAGCATGGGATGATCGGGCTGACGATGCAGCCAATCTCATGTACGAGACGGATTCGGATGCGCTTCTCCTATCCCTAGAAGATAAAAGCGATGCGTGGATCATCGACTCTGGCATATCTTTCCATGCAACCTCACAACAAAAGCTGCTTTCATTGTTCGTAAAGAAAGACTTAGGGACAGTCTATCTTGATGATGATTAACCTTGCAAGGTTTCCGGGAAGGAAAATTATACCCTCAAGATGGAGGGCGGGACCACCTTGATGCTGAATGACGTTCGGCATGTACCGGATCTCAGGCGAAATCTTATATCAGTCGGGCAACTGACTGACTTCGGTTACAGAGTATCCTTCGAGTAAAGAAGCTGGAAGGTGTCCAAGGGCGCTCTGGTGGTGGCACACGGCAAACGTGAGGGGTCTCTCTACATCACCAACGGGAAGATCGACCACTTGCTTATCGCAGGACAAGCATCATCATCATCATCCGTCGACTGCATGACTTAGCATTGACGACTTGGCCACATGAGCGAGAAGGGGATGCAGATTATGACCGCGGGAGAGAGGCTTTCGGGTCTGAACAAGATCGATCTGACTTTCTGTGAGGACTACATCCTAGACAAACAAAAGAAGGTGAGCTTTAACAAGATCGGATCGGCTTTAAAACTACATAAATTAAAGTTGGTGCATACCGACGTGTGGGGACCTGCGCAAGTCCCATCTGTTGGAAATTCTCTTTACTTTATCACTTTATTGATGATGCCACTAGAAAATTATGTGTGTTCTTCTTGAAGGACAGTCAGATGTTTTCATCGTCTTCAAGAAGTGGCTTGCCTGTGTGGAGAACGAAACAGGCAATAAGCTGAAGTGCCTAAAGTCTGATAATGGAAGCGAGTATTGCAGCCAAGAGTTCGAGAACTTCTGCTCGTCCTATGGGATTAGGAGACTGAAGACCGTCCCAGGCACACCTCAGCACAACGGAGTGGCTGAGCGTATGAATCGCACTATCTTGGCGCGCGCCAGAAGTATGAGGATCCATTCCGGATTGCCCAAGAGCTTTTAGGTCAAAACTGTAAATACTGTTGCATACTTGATCAACCGCGGATCATCCGCGGCTCTCAGTTATAGGATACCTGAAGAGGCTTAGATCGGAAAGAAGTTGAAGCTAGAGCACTTACGAGTATTTGGTTGTGACGTCTATGTCATGACCAATCCTACAGACCGGTCAAAGCTTGATCTAAAGTCAAAGAAGCTCTCTTTCATCGGCTATGAAGGAGATGAGTATGGGTACCGTTTTTAGGATCAGGATGCGGGTACCGTTTTTGGGATCAGGATGCGCGTAAGGTGGTGCGCAGTCGTGACGTCGTGTTCCATGAGAATGCGGTGTACAAGACCGAAGAGGTGATTGGGAGTCAGCTATCTCCCGCTCTTTTCCTAGATATTGCTGACAGTGAGAATGGCAGTGAGATACCAATCAGCATAGAAGACGAAGACCAAGAAAACGTGCTGGATGCACAGCAGCAGGATCCAGCAGAGCTGCCGATCGTAATTCGCAAAGCTCTAAGAAATCCGAGGTTACCAAAGAGGTACCTTTTCACCATGAATTATCTTCTCCTGACTGACAGTGGTGAGCCAAAGAGCTATGAGGAGGTACAACAGATCGGCAAAGCTCGGGGCGAGTGAGAGTCTGTTATGGAGGAAGAAATAAAGTCTTTGATGAAGAATGAGACTTGAGAGCTCGTAAAGCTTCCAAGAGGGAGAAAGGCTCTTCACAATCGGTGGATTTATCGGGTCAAGGATGAAGCCGATGGACGGAGACGTTACAAGGCGAGGTTTGTAGCGATGGGCTATGAGCAGAAAACAGGGATAGACTATTCTGATGTTTTCGTTCCCGTTGTCAAGTTGACCACGATCCGGACTATACTGAGCATTGTGGCAGTTCGAGATCTCCATCTAGAACAGATGGATGTGAAGATGACATTCTTTTATGGAGATTTGGAGGAAGAGATCTATATGCATCAACCAACGGGCTTTGAGGAACGAGGTAGGGAGGGCCTTATGTGTCGTCTGCGCAAGAGTTTGTATGGCCTGAAGCAAGCTCCACGACAGTGGTACATGAAGTTTGAGAACTTTATGGAGGAGAACGGTTTTTTCAAATGTGACACAGACCACTGCTGCTTCATCAAGAGATATGGCGAATCCTATGTGATACTCTTGATTTATGTTGATGACATGTTGATTGCAGTGCCCGACTTGGCCCGTATTGAAGAACTCAATGGGCGTCTCTCTGAGTGCTTCGAGATGAAGGATTTGGGTTCAGCAAACCAGATTCTGGGGATGAGGATCATCGGAGACAGATCAACACGGAGGCTGAGGTTGTCTCAGAAGGCCTACATTAAAAAGATTCTTGAAAAGTTCGGCATGGAGAAAGCTAAACCGGTTGGCTCGTCGTTTACAAGCCATTTCAAGCTATCGAAGACCCAAGCACCAGAGACTGCTGAAGAGCATGAGTCCATAGCCAACATACCATATACATCTACCGTCGGGAGTTTGATGTATGCGATGGTGTGCACGAGGTCAGATATTGCACAATAAGTGGGAGTTGTGAGCCGTTTCATGAGCAATTCAGGGGAACAACACTAGGGTGCGGTCAAATGACTTCTACGCTACTTGAGAAGCTCGTCCGACCGTTGTCTTGAGTATGACGGGACAGATTTATAGCTAGAGGGCTTTTGTGATGCAGACTATGCCGGGGACATAGACTCGAGAAGGAGTACGAGCGGCTACATCTTCATCTTGGGTGGTGGAGCGATAAGTTGAAGATCCAAGCTATAAGATATTGTGGCTTTGTCGGCAACTGAAACTGAGTACGTGTCTGTAGCAGAAGCAGTAAAGGAGTTGCTATGATTGAAGGCTTTTCTTCTCGAGCTTAGAGTAAGCTTTGAGAAATACTTCATCCACTACGACAGTCAGAGTGTCATTCACTTGTCAGAGAACGACGCATTCCATGCTCGGACATTCACTTGTCAGAGAACGACGCATTCCATGCTCGGACCAAGCATGTTGACGTGAAGCATCATGCCATACGGAGATGGCAAAGCAGGAACGAGTTTCCATGCTCGGACCAAGCATGTTGACGTGAAGCATCATGCCATACGGAGATGGCAAAGCAGGAACGAGTTTAAGTTTGTGAACATTGATACAAGGTATAATCCAGCCGATATGTTAACCAAACCCGTTCCGCTTGAGAATGTGAGGCTGTATGCAGCCTCATATGGCCTCTGTTGAAATATTGAGGGCCTTGCAAAACGCCAAAGATACATGACATCCGGATGATGTAACCAAGAGTGGTGTGAAGATATGATCGATATTCAATCAAATCTTCAAGTGGGAGATTGTCAGCAGTTCACGTTTTTTTTTGCCGCTCACCTTCTTTGACAAAGAAGGAAAACAGTGGCCGAAATTTTGGAAAAAGAAAAAGGATACGGGTCCCATAAATATATTATTATTAGTGGCGGATCCCACTAATAATATTTTATTTATGTATAGTATTTTCCAAACTTATAAATAGGACCCTAAACTCTTAAGAAAAACTCATCTCAGAAACAACTCCTCTCATAGAAGAGTAAGAGAGAAAACACAGAGAGAGATTGTGAGAGTTCTTGGAGTGTATCTGATCAAGAGAGGGTGTTCTCTTTGATATATTCTTTTGGGATATAAAAGAATTTGGCGTCGTCGTTGCACCGTGGAGTAGCTCCGAATGAGTGAACCACGTATATCTGTGAGTACTGTGTTTAATATTGTGCATTTATTCTGTGTATTACGTCTCCGTTCGAGACGTTATTGTTGGTGTGTACCCTAACAAATATCCCTCAGGAGAGATAAGAAAATGCAAGCAATGCCCGTTTCAAGGAAACTCCGCAATCAATTCAATTATCGGAATGTGATTCTTCGAAGACTAATTTTCTAGAGTCAGTTATGAGTCTATTCATTTCTTGCATCCTATCTAACTTAGGATCTAAATCTTACATTTCACTGGTCACACACAACACCTGTGAATGAAATACTGATCAAATAATAACACCACTGTGTGCTTTATTTCAATAAGAAACATAAGTTATTTAGTAAATCATAACATCTGTTTTTCAAAGACTAGTTTTCCCCCCTCCCATCTATAATTGGCTAAAGGTGAATTATAGACATTCAGGAGTTTTTATGCAGAGAAAATTTAATAACTAAATGGAAGCAAAAGAAACTGGTGCTGATGGGTTAGAGAAAATGGGTCATGTCTCAAGGTTAAATAAAGGTAGTAAGAACCGTCAAGGTTACCAGAATTTGCCAATGATTCATCGTATTGGTTACTGACAGTTAAAATGGTTTGGTCGTGTACAACGGAGACCCCTTAGTGCACCGATTAGGAAAAGCGATAATATTAGAGTTAATGAGGCTAGAAGATCTAGGGGTAGACTTAGAATGACTTGGTTAAAAGCAATTAAGAAGGATATGATTAAGACTAACTTAACGGAGGAGATGACCCATAACAGAATGGAATGGAAAAATAAGATTCATGTAGGCGACCCCAAACATTTGAGATAAAGGCTTGGTTGTTGTTGTTGTTGTTATAGGAACGGAGAAGAATAAGTATCTAAATTGGCACTTGCAATGAATTGATGAGCAGGGCTGGCATATAATATATCTTTAACAGGTACGCTGAAAATCATTCAAGCCATCTGATATACTTACGTTGAGGTCATAAACTCTTCATTAAAGAAGTAATCTATAACGTAAAGCTGCACAAAAAAAGTTAAACAAGATTTAGTAAAATGTGCTATATGCATGCTTTAGTCGGTATCAAATTCAGCATACCCCACAAAAGAGCTGGTAAAGAATGACCGAAAGGTTGACATTGCCAGCTTGGTAGAGTTTTGCTAACAAAGAGAGGTTAATGAATAACCATCCCATCATTCCAGCTCTAACAAAAAAGAATCTGCAAAAAGAGGCAACAGAAAAATGAATAGAGATAAATAGCACGACTAAAGACACGACTAAAGACAAATCATCATAAGTATAATTCATGTTTAATCCAAGGTCTGGAACTTGTAAATTTTCAACGAAGATACAGTGCTGAAAAATGAACACATACTTGAGGTCGATTCCCATAAATCGAGGGTTCAGCTGTGCCCCTAACCACCTGCATGGCGCAATTAAAAAATAGAACAGATGGTAACTAACCAAGTAAACATATAAGCGGGATGAAAGAAATAAAACCAATTTTAAGCTTTCAAATATACATGTAGAATGTATGGAAGCTAAAAATGGATTCATAATCAAATATAAAAAGAAGATATTAGGTTACATATGAAGTAAGAAGTTTTTGAAAGTTTGATTCAGTAGCAAATAAGATAATATGTTCCACCATGAGATTGCTCGGTGTTAATTCCTTCTAATATCGATGCTACGAAAGAAGAGACTGATGCACATGATGGAGGCAACAACCAGCAACCCATGCTTCTCCAATAACTCAAACAGGCTGCCATTGTGCCCTAAATGATACTTTTAAAGATTAACTTGATAACATGCACCCCATATATATTTTCAAGTTTATACATCTTAATCTTTATACACTAGTTAGGCACTCTATACACACTCTTATTACCTGTCAGATATTTCCATGATATGCATCATATAGAAAATGAACTTTTGTTGTTCCTTTATTACTTCGTGTCTTAGCCTTTTAATAATACAAAAAACTTGCACTTATGTGTGTGCATTGTTGTGTCTATGTTGTATATGTATCCGAGGTTCTTCAGTAATTGTTATATTCCCATATCTAGGAGAAATCATATCAGTGATCTTCTTGTGTCAGTGCAAAATAGACATTGCTATATAGGTGCAATGGGCAAGAGCAATCAAGAAATCTATCAGTAGCAAAGAATTGAAAGAAAAATGCCTTCTCATTGGGTGAAACGGGTTGAACTTGTCTCTCGAAATCATATTCAAATAAATGGCTAGGTGAACCATCTAGTAGCTTCTGTTCATTGAGATGATTTGCTAGTGAAAATTATAAGTAAAACAAAGAAAATATTTCAAGTGGCATTTGTGGAACCTGTTTCAAGCAAGAACATTCACTGACAATCCACAGTTCAAATCTTGGTTTCACGTGTGGATCCTAAGGAATGCATACGGTAATGCTGGCAAAAGTTTTCTAGTGAATGGGATACTTATGGTAATGGACAATCAATACTCTTGTGAAACCTGCCTTAGCAAAAGCAAAAGTTGCGATCCCTACTTCAAACTTCTTTCCGGAAAGAAAAGAAAGTTTTTTTTCCCATGATATCAAACTCTAAAATTACCAGATAATATGAAAATGTGATTTCCATACCAATCATCGAGCATGTTTCCTGTGATGTGAGGTTTGAAGGAGGAACTCTGGTCACAAGAGCTGCGACCCATAGCATAGAGTATCAGAGATACCTGGGAGAAATATGCATATCATAAATTAGGAGGTAAAAACAGCACTCAAAGAAATGGTTATCAACTTATAATCTATGGTGCTCATCAGAAAGTATTGATGTAAAACGTTAAAGACATTGAAATAATATTTGAAGTTTTGAACATCTGGTATATATGGTGTAAGGAAAATATTTGCTGAGGAACTACTTTGTTTTGCATATTGTCAGCAATTTCAAGGATTACCATTTATACATGATTGACTGGAAAATGCAGGAAACTAAATAATAGAAAGTTATGGTTATTTCATACACAATAATGCCAGGAATTAGGGTAACTTTTCAGGTTACAGGTATTTTACTAGAACACAGGGTGCTACTTTAAATTTCACTCAGCAGCCAGTATTAACTTGCATTGTTAGATGATATCAAACTGAATTCATGTAGCTTGTTATTTATGGTTCTTTGGGGACAAACAAATTGTAGAAGGTAACTGTAGGATAACAATGTCATTCTCCTGTGATCCAACTACCACTCGGAACCCAGGTAGAAACTCAGAGATAAGGGAAGTTCTATATTGTAATTTGATTGGAAATGCATTTCGTATCTACTTTTTACTTTAGGCAGAATGTGTGTAAACTTTTTGTTCCTATCCCTCTACCGCTTCTCCTTTCAACTTTCTTTAATTGAGGCTGTGGGTGTGATAATTAACAAAAGAAGATATAGAGAAAGATAATTAAGCATACATAACTTTCAAAACAAATACACCCAGACCCTTTGTCAGAGATAAGCATCAGAGCAGATTAATTATGATGAATGAGAAAGATGTAATGTCTTGTATGTAAATTATCATGATATTCATTTGCTCTCTTTCCACAAATATTTCATATAAAAAAGTATAATTTGGGGTAGAAGTTCCTAGAAAAAGGTAATCAGTAACCATCCACAGTATCACTTCAACTAGAGTCAGTGCTCATCACTGTCCGTGTAAAACAGATACTACTCAATGAAAAGGGAAGGAAAAGAAAAGTTTTAAAAAAACTAAAACTCTATCTTGGATGACTCATGTGAATTGGTCAAGGCATCATATATTGGCATATAGAGCAAATGAAGTACAAAATTGCCCCATAATAGTATACATTTTTACCAATTTGGCACCATCTACAGATATAAGGACACCTTGTGATATTAAGAAAAGCATAATGAAGTTGATGAAGTTCTAAAATATGTAAGACGTTGATAGCAGATACAGGTTGCCATGTTCCAAAATTCATCTAAACCAAATAGAACTTACCAAGACACTGAATATAAAAGTAACAGATAGCAGTTCAAGTCCTTTATCTGCTACAACCTGCAATTTATAAACCTCAACTTATCAATATATGTGTAAGTAAACTTATCAATATATGCATAAGCAAACTTGTGCTTGTGCGCACGCAACTACAGAAAAGCAATAATTGAGTGCCCAAAGAAGGCATTGCTTAAATAATATAAGCATCTGAATAATTTGTTTACGATTAAGAACAACAGTAAGTTGTCCAGAGGCATAAACATTTATTCCTAAGTGCAGTAAATTGTTGTGGTTTGAGGACCTACTGACCCTTTATCTTATTGCTCCCGTCATTGTCAATGAAGAATTTTATCTAATTTCTAGTAGTCCATTGGGACCTAACCCCAGTTACGTATCATTTAGTGGGTGATACATAGTATACCATGTTTCTGCATTGATATAGTTCGTTTGGATACAGACAGTACGTGCTCGTCAAGCAATACTGTATAAAGAAAATTCATCTTACACAAACAAATATTCTCATCAGTAAACAATACCCTGAGTCCCTGACTAATACCAGGGACTATCCTTGCAAATTACTGCATGATTATTGATCAATAAAAGTTCGGTTCTTCATTTGTCAAATGAGCTCTTAACTCTTTGGCTAGTGACTGAATGCATGAATACTAAATGCTACAGTAATTAACAGCTCATGGATAATGAGAATTAAGCCATACGGTTAACATTTCTTGCAAATCAACAGAAATTGTGTCCTCAAAGAGGATTTTCCTCCTCCATGATGCGTTTGCGCATTATCAAGAAGCTCATCTCATATATAAAGTACCGCAAATTAGTTCACAAAATTTGAAATTTACGACAAGTAGAAAGATTGAACTTGCTGGTCTTGCAACAACTTTCCAAATTCAATGAGCATCACTGTGAAGAGTAGTAACTTACGCTGCATGAAATTGCTAAATGCATTAAGTAAACAAAAAAAATGCTGAATGCTAAACAGGTCACTAACTCAAAAATAACAAGAATTAATCTTCTTTTGGTTATAATACCAAATAATAAGTAAGTAATTTACTAATAAATAAGCAAATGTATCATTCATATACATGTTGCCGAATAAAAACTATGTACCGTAGGAGAAACCAACTCCATTTGAACCCCAACCCCAAGAAGGGCCATCAACAAAACAAGTGACAATAAACCTGATTAAAAAAATCAAATAAAAAGAGGGTTAGCTCCGAAAGCAAACATCAAGCACAATACAATAAAAAATACCAATAATGTCAGAAAAATAAAAAATGGGTCCCACCGTTGCAGTGATATCGGAGGCGGGAGCCATCGGAGAGGACAGCACCCGGGACAATCTTGCCAGGAAGAAGAGATCCAGCCAATGCCAAGTAACCCAAATAAGAGAACAGCACAATCACCTAAGCAAAATAATCCAAAATCATCAAAATCAAATACCAAAATGAACCCAAATGTTAAATTAGACTGATAGAATGCGAAATAAGACAGAAATCAGTTTGATGGGTTTTCTTTTGTTTTACCAACAGTGTCTAAAAAAATCGCAAGAATTTTTTTAATTAAAATCAAATGCGAAGATGAACCCAAATGCTAAATTAGATTGCAGGATCGACATAACACAGAAATCGGTTTGATAGCTTTAGTTTTGTTTCACTCACAGAGCTCCATGTGGGGATTAAGGAAGTGAACCCACAAATTAGATTATAGAAAATGAACCCAGATGCTAAATTAGATTATAGAATGTGAGGCAAAACAAACTTAATTCGATGGGTTTTGTTTCGTTTTACGAACAGGGTCTAAAACAAAATCACCTGATCAAAAATTCTAAGATGAACCCAAATGCTAAATTAGAGGATAGAATCGAAACAAAACAGGAACTGGTACAATGGGTTTTGATTTGGTTTTACTCACAGCGCTCCATGTGGGGATCAAAGAAGTGATGAGGGCTGCTGCTGCTTCCTCCATTGCTAAGAGTGGAGGGTGAAAGAGGAGAGACAAAAAGGTGTTAGCTTTGGAGGCAGAGGAGCATGTGCGAGGCGTGGTGAATATATTATGAGAGGAAATTTGAATTATTAGAGAAAGATAGATGACTGGGGGCAATTAAATAAAACACGAGAGCTGCTTGCGGGAGAGAGAATACGAATCTTGATGAGACGAGGATGCAGATGATGAATAAATTATAACACACGTGATCTTGGGAGGGAGACTGACCTTGCCTAATTTTTTATTATTTTATTTTTTGGGAAAATTACTCGGGGGAACCAAATTTAATTGGGCCATGCATCCCCACCCCAAGCCCGAAAACCATAACAAAAAAGGCCTAATATTGAAAAAGAAGTTCAACCAAGCCCTAAAACCCACTGTCCAAGAAAACATTCCAAAATTACCATTATTCTTCCCCATTTAAAACTCGATCCCTTTCCTCCTCCTAATCTGGTCCAAGACCTCCCCTCCCCAACCAACGCTTCCCCCTTCCCCACCACCACCGACGACATAGCCTCCACTCCTACGCCATTGTCTCCTCGTCCTCTTCCCCCGTCCTCCGCACCCGCGTCGACCCGCGTGGGCTCCTTGAACCTCACGTGGAACGACAAGTTCCTCTTCCTCCTTCCCTCCTCCTCCATCCTCTCCTCCTCCCCGACCCCCTTCTCGGCTGAAACCCAACGCGGATTCTGATCGGAAAGAGGGTTTTAGCGTCGAGTCTCGTCTCCATCTCCGATCTCCGGCGAGATCGAGGAGCTCCGGTCACCGATTCCTAGGGTTTTCTTGTATGTCTGGGACCCATTCTATGACGTGGCACTTATTGTTCCCTCCGCACTTCGTTGATCCTGATGCTTACCATCGATTCGACGGTGAGAGCGGCCAAATCGAGGAGGATGTGGCTGATGTTCACGTGATCAAGACTTCGGTGAGTGGTCGATGATCGAAATTTAGTTTTTTGAGTAACGAAGTTGATATCTTTACTTGAAATAAGGTGAATTTAACAAAGAACTGAAATTACAGTAGTTTTAGAGTGGGGACTTCGGTTTTTTGATTACTTGAAATATATTTCCATTTGAACAGAGAGGTTGCGGGCTTGGGGAGCAAATCGAATGAACAAATCAAATTGAGAATTTGGGGCTTTTGATTGGATTTGGCAGCAAAGAGGGTGTCGATTTTGTAACTTGAATCACGGAATCAAATCAAAGCTTGATTGTCAATTCTCTTTTGTGTTTGAACCCCCTTTGTGTTTATTGTTGTGGATTTCTTTTGTTTTGCTCGTTTCAATGAATTACTGAATTACCCATGTTAATTTTTTTTTAAAATTTTAGGTGTTAGAAGTTAGTCGGCAAGTCTTGATGGGAGAGGAATTAACAAAAAACTATGGCTTTGTCTCGGGGAGCAAATCGAATGAGGAGGAGGAGGAGGAGGTTGAGAAGGCAATGAGGCAGATGTGTTGGATTAGATTGGGGAGGAGGAGGAGGTTGAGAAGCCTTGATGGAATCTCTTCCAATGTGGTTATTAGTATAGTTAGTTTTGTGCAAAATTATCGTTTGGACGGTTAACAGAGTTCATCAGTTTGTAAAATTTGATAAGAAAATGGAAGTCAACTTGTTTAATTTTGCTATAAAATTCTGTTTGTCCTTCATGTGACAAGCCATCTTAGAATTGCTCCAGGTGTCTTTTATGGAAGTCAACTTGCTTATGTGACATATGATAGTTTCATGTGACATATGACGGTTTCATGTCACATATGCTGTTTTTATGTGACATTTGTTGTTTATACGTGATATTTGGGTGTTGTATGTGATATTTGGGTGTTGTATGTGATATTTGGGTGTTGCTTGTGATATTTGTTGTTTATACGTAACATTTGGGTGTATGTGATATTTGGCTGTAATTTGTGATATTTGGTTATTACTTGTGGTATTTGTTATTTATACGTGATATTTGGGTGTTGTATGTGATATTTGGCTATAATATGTTGATAGTGAATGTGCTTATTTGTCACATGGCTGTAATTTGTTTATACGTGACACATGGATGTAATTTGTTGTATGTGATATTTAGATCTAATAGAGTCATTCCACATCCTCCTTCATCATCATCCCCTTCCCTCAGCTCCCAGGACGGATTCCTCCAAACCCTAGTTGCCGCTAACAACCTCGATTCCTCCGCCCAGTCCTTCGTCTCCGACGATGGCGTCCCCAATGCTCGTGGCAGAGTCCTCAACCCTTAAATTATTTTATTATGTTGTAATCTTGTATGCTCTTAATTTGTTCTTTGCAATTGAGAGTACTTATGGTTTTGTGCAAATTTGTCGTTTAGACAGTTAACAGAGTTCATCTGTTTATAAAATTTGATAAGAAAATTGAAGTCAACTTGTTTAATTTTGCTATAAAAGTCTGTTTGTCCTTCATGTGACCATCTTAGAATTGCTCCAGGTGTCCTTTAATGTGATATTTGTAGTTAATATGTGATATTTGCTATGTTATTCAAGTTTTTGATATTTATATGATTTATTACCCTTGCTTATGTGACATATGATAGTTTCATGTGACATATGACAGTTTCATATCACATATGTTATTTTTATGTGACATTTATGCATTCTGTGTGGCATATGTTGTGTGTATGCCACATATACTTGTTTCTTGTGACATTTTGGTATTATGCATGACGTATGCTGCTGTTATGTGACATATGATAGCTATTCCATTTTGTTGTCATCTCGCGGCGAGTATTCATCCTTTGCATAATTTGCACACGAATGTGATCCATCATATCATAAATAGGAAGTGTTCTCGCCACACGAATCCAATTATTGAAAGATTCAGTAACATTAGAAGTGATAGGACTATATCTATGTGTCAAACAAAAATTAACTACAAAGTACAGCCAAATATCACACTACAAAGTACAGCCAAATGTCACATATAAACCACAACTGTCACAAAACAACAGCAAAATATCACAGAACACAGGTAAAAGTCACATATAATAGAGTATTGCCACAAGCAACGAGTAAAGGTCACACATAACAGACGAACGTATACTTATGACGATGAAGAGGCCGAAGGATTCAGGGAGTCTGGGAGTGGACTCAAGAGGAGGATGGAGGAGATTGGGAGGCTGAGGCATCCTAATTTGGTGACGTTGAGAGCTTACTTTCAAGCTAAGGATGAGAGGTTGCTGGTTTATGATTATTTCCCCTAATAGGAGCCTCTTCTCTTTGATTCATGGTATGTGCATTTAAATCTTTGGTTTTTTTATATTTCGGTTGATTTTAGTTTTGGGGTACATGAATTTGTGTTTGATTTCTACTTATAGAGCTTGTCGTCGACGCCAGGATGGTGATGAAGGAGGATGTGGAATGTAATGACCGTAAAATTTTGATACTAGTTAAAATAAATTTTTAGTATTTTAAAATATTTAATTATTATTTTTAAAAAGAGTATTTGTATTTTTCTCGATTTTCTAGAAATTTTCTATGATTTAAAGTCTAAGTTTTATATTTATTTAAATGGTTTTGATATTTATAAATTAATTTAGTGCAATGAAAATTTTTGGGATTTATCTGTTGTGTTACTGATACTATTACGTATTATTTTAAATAATACGTCGTATTATTATTACTATTACGTATTAATTCTTGTGTTATGTTGAATTATTAATTACGTATTATTTGTGTAAATTATTGTATTATTTTAATTATTACGTATCAGCTGTCGTATTAGCATAACTGGTACGTTTTATCGTGTAGATAATTATCACATAATTATTTGATTTTAAATGTAAGTAAATATATTTTTATTATTATTTATTCTCGTTAATTATACAATATGTGTATATTTTGACTATTTCGTATCAATTGTTGTATTAGCTCAACATGTACGTTTTTATTTGTAGATAATTATTATGTAATTAGTTTAATTTTTAAGTACCCGAAATTATTTATTTTAATTATTTTCGTTTAAATACCTGAACCCATTTGAAAATAACCCAAGCTTTTCCTTCCCGCGTCAAACCCCCAACAGCTACCCAACAACCACGTTCTCTCCCCCCTCATTTTTTCAAAAATGACTGCTACCCACGCGCATCTCATTCATTATTTTATTTTATTTTTTTTTTTTTATTTTTTATTCATTTATTTTCCTATTTAAACCCAACTCATTTCTCTCTCTCGTACACAGCTCCTTCTCTCTCTTTCTTTCTTTCTCTCTCTCTCTCTCTCTCTCTCTCTCTCTCTCTCTCTCTCGAGCTCTAGCTCACAAATCAAGAGCCGGCCCCGCTCACTCTCTCTCTATCTCTCTCGATCTCGAGCCCTCCCTTGATCCGCCGGCCATGACAACACCGTCGTCAGACCCCTCCCCCCCCTCCCAGGACCAGATCGAGGTCCCTCTGCCCCCCAACGGCGCCGTGATCTCTCAGGTGAAATCCCTCTCGATCCCTCTCTTCTCTCATAATTAATCGACCTTTTCTCTTTTTTCTCTTTTTTGCAATTAATCTGGTCCTGGGAAATCAAGTTCTTCCAAACATAGCTCAAAATTTTCCGCCTCCAGATCCCTCCTCCCTATCCCCTTTGCTCCGCCTCTGCGCCGCCCTGAGCGCCGCCCCCTCGTCCCCCTTGTTTCCTTGTCGCTGTCCGACCGCCTCAGCAGCCCCATGTAGGCATCGAAAATTACCTATAGGTCTCCATGAACAGCTCAGTGCTAAGAAACGACGATGAACGTCACTATCCAGTTCACAGAAGTTTGATTGATGTCAGTGAACGCTTGAAGTGAATCGACGAACTAAGTAAACCAACAAAATTTCAGAATAACAAAGACGAGAACTGATCGGGAACCTCATATCGTTCACAAACGGTGAAATACCCTTTGTGTCTTATTTGTTCAACTGATGATCTAATCATCGAAGCTTATAGAACTCCTCATCGGCTTTTCAACGCACTTTGAATCGTTCAAATCCGAGTTTGAATGAAGAAGTTACGGCGAAAACGAACAAACAGGCATAACAGAGCGTCTCAGGCTGAACTGGGGCACCCGAGGTGTCTCGGCACGAGCGAGACACCCAAGGGTGTCTCGGCCCTGGTTGAGACACCCAAGGGTGTCTCCAACCTGATTTCGACCCGTGCCTATAAATACAAGCCCCG